TTTTTTTTTTTTTTTTTTTGGTTCGTTGTGTATTAGGGCTGTTCATATTTTACCCGTACCCACCAAAACCGCCAAATCTGAACTCGTTCAAACCAGGGAAAAAAAAACCGTTACAAAACAAAACCAAACTGTTCCTTATTCGGTCGGTTATAGTTTCATGATTTTAAGAGTTGGTTTTAACGAAACCAAATTTGAGATGCTTAAAAAACTAATAACTAAAAACATCTCCATACGTTGTCATTTAACCATGTCCAAAAAGACCCACCCCTATTTATCTCTTCTTTTCTTTTGCTGCCTTCACCCCCATTCCGTTCTTAACGAAAACCCTCTTCGTCTCTCATATTCTCTCTTGTCTGATCTTTCATTAGATTGAGATGTGCTAGAGGACTTTTTGAAAAGAATCTGTCTTGTTTAGAAATTGTACAATGTCTTCTTTTGTGAAATTCAAAAATTATTTTAAGTTCAGAAAATTGCTGATTGATGGAATTCAGCAAGTTAGACGAATCACCTGTTTTTAAGGATCACGTCCAAATTCATGTGCAGCTTATAGAAAGTTTTTTAGAGTTGATGCAACAAGTTTATGTAACAAGTTGAATATAACAGTTTGCATTGAAGACATTTTGAAAGCTGGTGTGATTGGTTATTTAACTAAAGTTTATAGCTTATTTTTTGTATGCCTTATTTGTGAGTTCTTACTGAGCGTGAAAGAAAGGGGTGTGCATTTTCTGTAAATGCTTTAATTCTTTGGGAGAAGGGTTTAGTTTTTTGGGAGAGAAACTTTTGTTAAAGGGATTTTAACATTATAAGTCGAGAGATCTCGCTGATTAAGTCCATTAGGAAATTACAGTTTATAGGCGTCTTGTCTTGAGAGAGAGTCTTGAGAAGTTTAAATTCGTGTTGAGTTGTAAATTGAATTCTTAATAGGTTGTTTATCATTTAAACGTGACTATGTGAAATAAGTGGTTACTGAACCGTAATACTAAATTGTCCGTGTCTTTCTCTATTCTCCCGTTTCTTACATTTGTTACAACAATCTTACCAAGAAGTTTGGTAAAGAAACATAACCGGTACTTTCATTGCACAATATCACCGCCTTCCACCTCAATCTCTCCGCTCCTCTCACCTCGCTGCCGTGACACGCCGACAAGAAGTCAAGTCCTTCACTCTGGCACTCAGCACTCAGCAGCAAGATATTTGTTCAAGCTCTCAACTTTGTTTCTTTCTGTTTTTTTATGAGAGAGATACATGATTCCTTTTCGATACTTGATTTGTCATTTTGTTGTTGAGAGTTTTTAGATCTGTGAATATTCATTGAACTATAATTTGTTGTTGAGTTTTTGTTTTTTCTTTTTTCCCAGTGCGAAGTATGTGCGTAGGTGTATACTGACGGTTACCAGCCGAAACAAATCACGGATCGTCGGTCGGTTATCGGACGGTTTCTAACTCCGATTGGTTCGGTTACAGGTTTTGTTTAAGTTCGCTTTGGTAATCTGTTGAGCCCAAAAACTGGCCCGACGGAAGTAAGAACACCCCTAGACTGCTTATATTGCTCTACAAAAACGAGGGTTTTTTTCCATGTTACAAATGACGTTCTCCATTTCTTAGCATATGGTATTTATAATTATCGAATTGAAATGAAACTTCATTAATTAGCAATAATTAAAGAACAGCTTTTTCATTACTATTGCTGTTATAAAAAACAAAGAATACGTTGCTTTTAAATTACAATTCAAAGTTTAGGGTTACTGCCACTTTACCCTTAATTTTAAGTACTTTAAAAAAGTACACTCTAAATTTTTAATTTTGACAATTAACCTTATAAACTTTTTAAACCTTGTAATGTGGCCCAAATTAATAACGACATTTAAATTGGTCATTTAAAGATCAGAGTTAAATATTAAAACTAAAAATTCAATGAGCAACTTCCTCAAAAATGAAAAGTTCTAGGGAAGAAAGCGCCAATTTTTACGTAAACATCACTCCATAACTATTCGTAGTCCTCTAATCATGTATCTTGTACATGAGGAAAACATATAATTAAAGGATAGAGTCTAAATTATAGTTCACAATCAAAAAAAAAAGTACGACACTTTAAACAATTCAAACCTAGATCATTTTAAAGAAAAATAAGTTGTATCGGGACTGTCCCGGGACAGTCCCCGGGGGCTAAACCGGGACTGTACCGATGAATAAGGTAACAATCACTTCATTATGCTTTTTTAAAAAAGGGAAATTATAGTAAATAGGTTAACATTTAAAACCTTAGAAAGTAAATAACCTATTTACCAATTTGTAGAAATTAATAATCAATTTTAGTTGTAAGTAATTTATTTTCCAATTTTACCCTACGGGTTCCTATCTTCTTTTTTTCCGTTCTTTTCTAACCATTTCCCTATCTACTGCTCTCTCTCTCTCTGACTATTCTCTCTCTTCCCTAATGATGGCTCTCTCTCCTCCACTTCCATCATGATGATGTGTCGTTCATCACCATTGAAGATTCGCCATGGATCTGATAAATTAGAAAATCGTCGTCCCTTGTAGATGAGTGTCGAAGATGAATGGAATGGAGCTAAGCGAAATCAAAGAGGCATTCGCGCGGCGATGGAGATCTATTCAGTGAAAGGTTTTCGTTGCGTGAGATTGTTGATCGCACATTAATGAGAGAGAGGAGGAGGAGAGAGACTGTTTGGATTACGTTTTTCAAAGTAGAGAAAGAAAAATATTGACATTTTCTTCTTGAATTTTTAATTTAAATTAAAATGTTATTTTATATAAAAAAAATTTACTATAATAAAAAAGATTAAAATTAATTTTTTATAAAAATTTTTAATTATAATAAAATTAAAATTAAAAATTTAAATAATAAAATTAAAATTAAAAACTCAAATAATAAAATGAAGATAATCAATCTTTGGAAACGATATTTACCACTAAGTATATACAACGTAGTTTACGCTTTTCTTTTATTTGCTGATAAGTCTAATATATTTCTTTCTTTTTACCTGTGGGCTTCTTATATTTTTGCTGATCTCGTGGGCTTCTTCTTATCTTTTTCCACAATATTCTAATACGTACAGAATTAATAAATAACAATATATCATTTTTTTTCGCTCAGATCTTAAGTTCTTTTAAAAAAAAATAAGAAAAATAGTAAAAAATATGTCAATATAAAAAGTTTAAGAAAGTATATAGGCTAATTTTTAGTTATAAAAATTAATACGCTATAACTTGTCAAGTTATAGTTTATAATCAGATAAGTTATAGACAAACTTGTCAAGTTATGGTTCATAACCAGATAAGTTATAGATAAAAATTGTGAATTATGGACAATAACTTATCAAGTTATGGTTCATAACCAGACAAGTTATAGACGAAAACAGTAATTTGGCCTATTTATTAACTTATGTAAACTATTGGCCTATTAATTTTAATTCATCTCAAGTCTTGGCTTATTTCCTTCTTTCTCCCAAAAAACAAAAGAAAAAAAAATTAAGAGTATGTTTGAAACTCATTTTAAAATAATTTTATTTTTTATATAAAAATAAAAACAAAAATATTTTCAATTTCAGACATAAATCATTTTTGAAATTGCGTTTGATAGTTTTATCAAGAGATTAGTTTTAGTATAAAAAATCCATTAATCACTACAAGAATTTGAATTTTTTGTTACTAAAAATTTGGTAACCAAAGCCCTATTTTTGGTAGCAAAATGTTTTTATTACCAAAAAATTTTGCTAGCAAAAAGTGCGTACCAGAAAGTATTAGTTACTAAAATTCTAATAGTAAATAGTTTTTGCTACCAAAAATTTTTGAGACTATTCTTGATAAGTAAAATTCTAATAGTAACATTTGTGGTGTCAAATGAAATGTCAACCTCATTTGATAACTATTCTTGATAAGGCTCATTATCTTCATCATCCTCTTGATAAGCCTCAGTTATTGTTTTTGAGACATTCTCCTATATATGACGGTGATTGACTTTTTAAACTACTTTCCAAGTGTTATCTCTCTTTTCATCATTAATGTAATAGACTTATTTCACTTGATCTATCAATACATACGGTTCATCCTCAAAGCATAATGAATCAGTTTTAATGGTGGTGAAATTATACGCTTTCTTCATCCTTCCATTGGCAGTGTCAAACCATGAACACTTAAATAAGATCACCTTATTCCAATACAAAAATGACACCTCCCAAATCTCCTCAATCACACCGAAGAAATCACTTATTACCCTATCACAATCTCCCTCAACGTAAACATCAGAATTCT